TTATTTTGAGATAAGATCTAGCTACGTTGCTGAGGCTCAAATTTGAGATACTTTTAAGTTGCTGGTATTATAGGTGTGCCATCATGTCTAGCCAAGCCTTTATAATTTTTTAAAAATATTTTAGTTTTTTTTACTTAGGTGGACACAATATATTTTTTATTTTTATGTAGGGTTGAGGATCAAACCCAGTGCCCCGCGCATGCCAGGCGAGCGTGCTACTGCTTGAGCCACATCCCCAGCCCAATATAATTTTTTTTTAATATTTATTTTTTAGGTGTAGATGGATACAATACAATGTCTTTATTTTTATGTGGTGCTGAGGATCCAACCCGGGTCCTGCCCTTGCTAGGCGAGCACTCTACCTCTGAGCTACAATCCCAGCCCAATCCTTTATAATTTTTTAAGGCCTCTTTAGCAACTTGTAAATTTTATTTTTTTTTTAAATTTTAATTTTGTAGTGTTGGGCATTGAATCCAGAACTCATACATCCTAGGGAAGCACTACCACTGAGCTATACCCCTAGTCTCATACAATATATTGTTACTAAATTTTACAGATACAAAATGAGATTCATAAAGGTTGGTTAAGGGATTGCCCAAGATGACATAACTAATTGGTAACCAGTCTAAAATTCCAGCCTAGATCTCAGCCAGGAGATCTGTATGCCTATAATTCTAATTACTTGGCATGTAGGAGTGCCAGCCTCAGCAATTGAGACTCTATGTCAAAATAAATTTTAAAAGCTGGGTTTAATCCCCATACCAAAACAAAAACAAACCTAGATCTCTCCCAACTTCAGAATTGAACTGATTGAACTTAGAACTTTCTTGGAATAAATAACCTTTTCTCCTTACCCATTGTGGATAGCAGAATTGAGTCCACCTTAAAGTAAAGGAAATGGACAAAAATAGTTCTAAAGTTTTAGCCATTCCTTCAGATTCTACAGGAGAAATTCATATTTTTTCCAGGTTGTAGGTTACAGTTTACATTTGAGTCTTTTGTTGTTGTTGTTAATATTTTTTTAGTTGTAGATGAACACAATACTTTTTTTAATATATGTGGTGCGGAGGATCGAACCCAGTGCTTCACACATGCCAGGCAGGTGCTGTACCATTGAGTTACAACTCCAGTCCCTTTACTTGAGTTTTATTACACTCACCCACTGTCTTCTGTGTTACAGAGCAGATTCTCTTTTAAGTCAGTGCTCAAACTTCACTGTGCCTAGCAACACTATTAAGCTACAGATTCTGATTTACATAGATCTGGGGCAGGCCTGAGAGTCTGAATTTCTAACAAGTTCTCAAATGACTCTTTTTTCTTTATTTTTCTTTTTTGAGATAGGGGGCTGTTTTGCCCAGTTTGACCCCTGATCCTCCTACCTCAACCTACTGAGTAGCTGGGACTCTAGTCATCAAGGACCACCACATCCAGCTTCATGTGTTCTTTTTTTCTTTTTTTTAGTTATTGATGGACCTTTATTTTATTATTTATATATATGTGGTGCTGAGAATTGAACCCAGTGCCTCAGACGTGCTAGGCAAGCACTCTACCAATCTGAGCTACAATCCCAGCCCTTCATGTGTTCTTTTGAGCACCAAAGGTCTAAATCAGTAGCTGTCAAACTTGGGAAGTCGTAAGATTCATCTGGAGATCCTTCAAAAAGCAAATTTGTTTTCATTTTGCAGTGTTGAGTATCAAATCAGGGTCTTGAGCAATTCAGTTTGGGAGGGCTGGGGATGTAACTGTGTGGTAGACTGCTTGCCTGCCATGTGAGAAGGCCCTGGATTCAATCTCAAGCATCACCAAAACAATTTGGCTGCAAACTCAGAGATTTCTAATGTAAGAGTTTTTCTAGGGTAAGGTCTAGGAATTGTTTTGTTTCACAGGGATTTTTGTTTGTTTTAAAGAATATTCCTCAGGTTGTTTTGATGATCAGTTTGGTCTAAAAGCTAAAATGTTGTGAATGCATCATCCGATACAACACAAACATGAGTAGGCAGTTAAAAGTGGAAGAACCAGTGCCAGATATGGTGGTGTGGGTTTGTAGTATGAGCTACTTGGGAGATGAGATTAGAGGATCAGTTGAGCCCGGGGCTTCAAGATCATCTTGGGCAATATAGCAAGATACCTCTATCTAAATAAATAAATAAGTAAGTAAAGTAAGAAATTCATATTTACTGGAAGAACTAATTCATTAACCTCAAGAGAAGAAGTAGCCCTGGATCTCAGAACAAAACAGAACCAGGAATTAGGAGGCCAGTAAGAACCAGGGGTGTCCACACTTACTCTCCTATGTTTTCTTTTCTCTGAGGACTGGCTTTGGTTAAAAATGGCCACTCTTAACAGTTTGGTCTAGTGCCATCAGCCAGTTCCACGTTCCTCAAAATTTTTTTTCGTTGTAGATAGACATAAAACCTTTATTTATTTATTTTTGTGTGGTGCTGAGGATTGAACCCAGTGCCTCACACATGCTAGGCAAACTCCCTACCACTAAAACTACACCCTCAGCTTCCCTGAGAGAATTTGATGGCCCAGTTTTATCTAGCCTTCAAATTGATTCTCCCTGAACAAGAAGATCCCTCTGCACTATGATCAGGGAATCAGCACTTAACATCATGTAAACAACTGCAGGGTGTCACCCTTACAGGGATGTTGGAGCCTCCCAGAGAAGTTGGACAGATTGCCTAAAAGGTGACTATTACTATATATGCTTAAGTAGCTTAGCTTTGCAGGGCAAGAACCAAGAAGATATATCCTATGCTCTTGGAATTAGGAGGGAGTCATTTGCTTCATAAAAGACAGACAAGTAAATGAAATATTTTCAGTCAGTGTGGTGCTAATTCTCCCGAGTAACTGGAACTGTAGGCATGTACCACTGAACCTGATAGAATTTTAATTCATCTTCTTTTTTTTTTTTAAATTCATACATTTATATTTAATGTTTAAATATTTCTTTCTTTTTTTTTTAAAGAGAGAGAGAGAAAGAGAGAATTTTTAATATTTATTTTTTAGTTATCGGCAGACACAACATCTTTGTTTGTATGTGGTGCTGAGGATCGAACCCGGGCCGCATGCACGCCAGGCGAGCGCGCTACCGCTTGAGCCACATTCCCAGCCCCTTAATTCATCTTCTTAAACTGTGCAGTATATGAAAGCATAGATTGTGTCTCTCATTCATGGTTATATTCTTTCTTTCCCCCCACCCAGTTCTGGGGATCTAATCCAGGGTCTCATGTGCTAGGCAGTTGCTCTACCCTTGAGCTAGCCCTCAACTTGCTGAGGTAATTACATTAGCACCTGGAACAGTACTAGCAAATGAGTGAGTGAATGAAGGATTGAATCAAATGAAGAGTTTAATAATAGACTCGATTGGTTTCTTCTAAGACTGTTCTTTTCGGTAAAACATTCTCTGAGTTGAATCTTGAAATGTAAAAAGGATTTAGGTTGGTAGAAAGGTAGAGGAGAGGGGCTGGGGATGTGCTCAAGCGGTAGCGCTCTTGCCTGGCATGTGTGCCGCCTGGGTTCGATCCTCAGCACCACATACAAATAAAGATGTTGTGTCTGCCAAAAACTAAAAAAAATAAAAATAAATAAATATTAAAATTCTCTTTCTCTCTCTCTGTCTCTCTCTTAAAAAGGAAGGAAGGAAGGAAGAAAGGAAGGGGAGAACTTTTTAGGCAGAGGCAACACCATGGGCAAAGTCAAGAAGGTAGAGAACAGAATAGTGTGTGTAGTAGATATATCTGGAGTTACCAGAAGCCGAGTAAAAGTGATTGATAGGTTTAATAGTGGCTGTGAGATGCTCTGGGAATTATGTTTTGTTTATAAGTTTCTGTGCGTGTGAGGATTAGATATAAAATATGTTTATGCTGATAGAAAACTTTTTTTGGTGCCAGAGATTGAACCCAGGAGTATTTAACCCCCGAGCCACATCCCAAGCCCTTTTTATTTTTTATTTTGAAACATGGTCTCGGTAAGTTGCTTTAGGGCCTCGCTAAGTTGCTAAGGCTGGTTTGAACTTATGATCCTCCTGTCTCAGCTTCTGGAGCTGTTGGGATTACAGGTGTGCGCCATCACAGCTGGCCAGAAAACTTTACATTGGTCTGACTTTTTATGTCCATAACCTGATGCAAGGTCTGTTGGAAACGTTGCACATATTCTGGACAAAATTTACTAATTCCTAATATCTGTGTTCCAGTAGTGTTTTACTTATCTCTAACATTATGTTTTTCCTTTTTTTGGTACCAGGGATTTGAACTCGGGCACTTGATCACCGAGCCACATCCCTAGCCCTATTTTGTATTTTATTTAGAGATGGGGTCTCACTGAGTTGTTTAGCATCCTGCTTTTTGCTGAGGCTGGCTTTGAACTCATGATCCTGCTGCCTCAGCCTCCTGAGCTGCTGAGATTACAGGCATGTGCTTCCACGCCCAGCTTGTTTTCATTTTTGATTTGTCTGTCCATACCTTTAATAATTTCCAGGATCAACTAAGCATAGTGACTCATGCCTGTATTCCCAGCAACTCAGGAGACTGAGGCAGAAGGAGAACGCAAGTTCAAGTCTAGCCTCAGCTCTTTCAATCTGCAGTGCCCACCTTAAGAAACTTACTGAGACTCAGTCTCAAGTTTTAAAAAAGGCGGGGGGCGGGGTGGCTAGAGATGTAGCTCAGTGCTAAATCCCCCCTGGATTCCATCCTCAGTACCCTTCCCTTACCAAAAAATAAACAAACAAGGGCTAGGGGTGTGACTCAGTCCCCAGTAGTACTACAAAAATAAATAATTCCTAGGATGTAGTTTGTAGTAAACTTTAATTAAATGTTTGGAGGAAGGTGGTGTAGCTCAGTGTTAGAACACTTAGCTAGCCTGTGTGAGGCCCTAAGTTCAATCCTTGTAATAACAACAACAAAAAATGTTTCATGCATAACTGAACAAATGGATGTTTATACCCAGCATTAACCACATTAAATATGTTCAGCTTATGTATTGCTTTTGTTTTATAGCTATTTGTAGTTGATGTCCAGACAAGCCAAATCACCAAGATCCCTATTTTGAAAGACCGAGAGCCTGGAGGTGTGACCCAGCAGGGCTGTGGTATCCATGCGATTGAGCTGAATCCCTCTAGAACACTGTTAGCCACTGGAGGAGACAACCCCAACAGTCTTGCCATCTATCGACTGCCTACACTAGATCCTGTGTGTGTGGGAGATGTAAGTTTTCATAATAGGTGTAGTGAGATAACTTTTTCTTTTAATTGGCCTGGTAGATTACATGGACCTTTGTCCTCTAGACTTCTGCTTACTCTAGGGAAATGGGGATGAGTGTGGGGTGATGATAGTGGATTAGGGACTGGACTCCCATAGGGTGTATCAGTATGTTGACAGAGGATGTATATTTGATAAAAGAATAAGAAATACACTCGGGGACCAAATAAATAGCAGTGGATTTCTCTTTCAATCCCACATATTTTCCCATTGCCCAGAGTCAGAGAGAAGAATATTAAATCATTCATTCAGCAACTATTAATAAGTCTTTTTATTGGCCAGGCATTGTTTTAGACCCTGGAGGACACAGTAGAATGGATGAAACAGAAAAAGCCCTTGCCCTCTTAAAGCCTGCATTCTGGTGAAGGGTGACATATTAACTAGTATGTAAGTCATATAAGCCAATAAGTGTTTACCAGTAATATGTCACAGTGTGATGTGTACCATGGAGAAGAATAATAGCAGGCTAAAGGGATTGAGTGAGGGAGAAAATGCTCTTTAAGAGGATAGAGAAAGCCTCATTGAGAAGATGACATTTGAGCAGGGAGACTTAAAGAAAATAAAGTGTAAGCCATGTACATTCAGACAGAAGAGGAGTCCCAGATAATATATCCAGGTAGAAGGCTAGAGTTGTGCATCATTTGGATGTGTTTTTACCCACAGTAGTGCCAGTTTTGTCCCAGCTTTGATATTCAAGAAAGATTGTGGGATCATGCCCACTGGGTTGAGTTCATTAGAAACCACAAGAACTATTTGTAGTCAGATCTGTATGCTTTTCAGGAGAGTTTATTATAATACTTTATACACTAATTTCTTTGTTTTTCTCCCTGTACCTATCACTCTCTCCTTTCCAAGGATGGACACAAAGACTGGATCTTTTCCATTGCATGGATCAGTGATACTATGGCAGTGTCTGGTAAATTTACCCTTTTTTTTTTTTTTTTAATTTTTTAAATATTTATTTTTTAGTTTTCAGTGGACACAACATCTTTATTTTATTTTTTTATGTGGTGCTGAGGATCGAACCCAGCACCCTGTGCATGCCAGGTGAGCGCGCTACTGCTTGAGCCACATCCCCAGCCCCAAATTTACCCTTTTTTAAGGAGCTTTTGGTGTGGCCAGAGAGGGCTAGAGGTTGAAAAGTGTTAGTTGTGAAATATGAATAACCTGGTAAACAAACACCATTATCAAGTGCTCTGAGATGGGGCCTCACTAAATTGCTGAGGTTAGCCTCTAGGACATCATATTTCTAATAATGGCTTTTTATTTATTTTTATGTGTTGCTGAGGATCGAACCCAGCACCTTGCACGTGCTAGGCTGGCGTTCTACCGCTGAGCCACAACCCCAGCCTCTGTAGGGTAACATCTTAGCCATAATATTTTTATGGGGCCTTATTGAGATAAAGTTTATGCAAGTGTTTTGGAAATGTTGATGTGGTCTCCAGAGTACAACAGGCTATTATTATTATTACTTTTTTCATTGCTGTTTTGGGATTGAACCCAGGGCCTTGCATATGCTAGGCAAGTACTATACCACTGAGCTATATCCCCAACACCCCGCCCCCACCTTTATTTTCTGTACAGGTTTATGGTTTGGAGCAATTTCTTTTTCAGTGGTTGGAACAAAACCAGATTTACCAAAACAACAACAACAAAAAAAACAAATGCACAGTCTGGTGGCAATCCCCTTTGATCCCAGCCACTCAGGAAGCAGAGGCATGGGGATCCCAAGTGGGAAGCCAGCCTGGGCAGCTTAGTTAGTGAAACCCTGTCTCAAAATAAAAAGGGGCTGGAAATATAGCCCAATGGTAGAGTGCACCTGGATTCAATCTCTAGTACTGCAAAGAAAAAAGAGAGAAATGAGCCTAGAGAAATTAACCTAGAGAATCACAAATCCTTTCTGATACATCATTGGCCACACAAATACTAAGGGTGGAGCATGATTTGAATTCAAGTCTGTGGTTTGTTGTTGTTATTGTTTGCAGTCTGGGAATTGAATCCAGGGGCACTCTACCACTGAGCTACATCCCCAGGTCCCCAGTTCTTGTTTAGCTTTAATTTCTTATTTTGCTAAGTTACTGAGGCTTGCCTTGAAACTGTCCTGCCTAAGTCTCCTGAGTAGCTGGTGTTATAAGTGTGCACCACTGCGCCCAGGTTTAAGTCTGGTTTTATTTATTTATTTTGGTGCCAGGGATTGAACCCAGGGATCTCTGGCCCTTTTTTGTTTAGAGATAGGGTCCCACTGAGTGCTTATGGCCTTGCTAAGTTGCTGAGACAGGCTTTGAACTTCTGCCTCAGCCACTCAGGCTTTTGGGATTAGAGGCATGCATCACCACACCTGGCCAGGTCTGTCTTATTTTAAAGCCTATGCTTAGAACTGGCTATTTACAAAGATAAAGGGAACACAAATATTCCTTCTTTGGGTTCTTAGTAAGGCAATAGAAAGCATCTAGAAGGGAATGTAAATCTAATAAACATAATCAAAGATCAGAGTTACCCAGAAAGGGGTTGAGAAGATTTTAGATTCCTTGTCAAGGAATGAGAGAGCTCCTTTAAGGCAGAAACTGAGTCATGTCTCCTTTATGGGAAACCATGTTTTTGCTAGGTGCTTGCACTAAATTTGGTTATTGAGGACTTAGTTTTGTTTGAGGAACCTTCTGTCTCTTCTTTCAGATACTCTCTCATTGTCTTATGTTCTCAAGTTGAGAGCTCCCACATCTACATTTCCTGAACATTATAGAGGAGTTTAAAACATTAGCTCCAGCCAGGTACAGTGGCACACTCACTCCTGCAAGCCCAGCAACTTGGGAGACTGAGGCAGGAAAATAGTAAGTTCAAGGTCAGCCTTTGCAACTGGCAGACCCTTTCTCCAAGTAAAAAGAGCTGAAGATGACATACTCAGTGGTAGAGGACCTTGGGTTCAATCCCCAATAGAAAGGATGTTAAGGATAGAATATGGTATAGAAATGGTCATTATAAAAGTTTTTCAATATTTTTATTGTTTTTTCCTTCTTTTTTTATGTTGCTGGGATTGAACCCTGGGCCTTGCACATGCTAGGCAGTTTCTTTTTGTTTGTGTGTGTGGTACTGTGTGGTACTGAGGATTGAACCCTGGGCCTTGCACGTTGCTAATCCTTAATCTTTTTTTATTAAATTTTATTTTTGAGACAGGATTTGGCTATGTTGCTCAGGAATGCCTTGAACTGTAATCTTCTTGCCTCAGACTTACAGGATTACAGGTGTACACCATCACACCCAACTAAAACAGACTCTTTTTTTTTTTCCCCATGGTACTGGGGATTGAACCTAGAGCTCACATGTGCTAGGCAAGTTTTCTACCACTAATCTACATCTCCAGCCATAGAAAAGATATTCTTAGTAAGGGGACAGTGCTCCCTTATGGGACAGGACCGTGGACCTCCCTGAAATTGGATCTAAAGAAAGAGATCTGTAACATTCCTAATCTCTCTTTTTTTATTTTTTATGTTTTTTTTAAAAGAGAAAGAGAATTTTAATATTTATTTTTTAGTTTTCGGCGGACACAACATCTTTGTTTGTATGTGGTGCTGAGGATCGAACCTGGGCCGCACGTATGCCAGGCAAGCGAGCTACCGCTTGAGCCACATCCCCAGCCCCATTCCTAATCTCTCAAAGGAATCCAAGACTTAAAGTTAATCATTGCTGATCTAAAGTGGAGGTTTCCAAATCCTAGTGGCCACTAGAAGTTGGCTGCAGATATATTCCAGTTTCCTAAGTATTTAGCTTGGAAAATTACTGGGTTTTATCAAACTGTTTAAAATTCTGTTTTTAAAAATCCCCACTCAGCAACTAAGGAGGCTGAGGCAGGAGGATCATAAGTTTGAGGCCAGCCTCAGAAGCTTAGCAAGGTCCTAAGCAATTTAGTGAGATGCTGCCTCAAAATTAAAAATAAAAAGAACTGGGTATGTAGCTCAGTGGTGAGTGCTTCTGGGTTCAGTCCATCTGACTCCACTAATCATGTTAAGCTGAAAGGTCATATTTTACTTCCTAGGCCTTAGTTGATTGTCCTCTTAATATAGCTTATTAAAATGTGTACTGCTGGCTGTGAATGTAGCTCAGTGGTAGAGTACTTGCCTAGTATGTATAACACCATTGGATTCAATCCCTAACACTGAAAAAAAAGAAAAAGAAAAGAAACAAAAGGCAAGAAATGTCTAGTTTTGCTGTTGAAATGGGCCGCCTGGTACTCTAGATCAGTTGTAATATGAGGATGATGCTGTGAACTTCAAAAAGCCCATCTTGGCTTCTGTGGAATTGTCACATGGAGAGTTGAATATATCTGACATCTGTGGTCTCTTTCATACAGGCTCACGTGATGGTTCTATGGGACTCTGGGAGGTGACAGATGATGTGTTGACCAAAAGTGATGCAAGGCACAATATGTCAAGGGTCCCCGTGTATGCTCACATCACTCACAAAGCCTTAAAGGACATCCCCAAGGAAGACACAAACCCTGACAACTGCAAGGTCCGGGCTTTGGCCTTCAACAACAAGAACAAGGTATGAAATCACCAAACACTTCCTTTTGACTCACATCTTAAAGGTGCATTCCACTTTCCTCTCTCCATGTCACTGCTTGCTTTGTAACTTGGTTTTGAACCTACAGAGCACCTCTTAAATGCTGAGGGATGCTAGTGAGAAATTTTAACTGAGATTGTGAAAATCTGCCCTTGGATTGACCTCTATGTTATTTTTCTGGGTGGCCCATACATGTGGGTGAGCCTCAAAGTTTTTCCCTGGGGCCACTCTGATTTGACTGTCCCTCATTTGCACATCCTTTTATAGGTACTCTATTTTGGCTGTGGTTTTCATACTCGCCTCTAAGAGCAATAAATTTTTTTCTCCATTACTTAATTCCTTCTCATTTTTTACTTCTTTATTTCCCTTCATGCTGCCACCAGGTCTTACCTAGTCATTATGTCAGATCCCCTGGCACTGAGGTTTTAAGGAGAGTGTAAGAATGTACACCCAAAAGCCATATGTGGTGGCATGTGCTTGAAATCCCAGCTACTGAAGGGTTGAGGCAGGGAGATTACAAGTTTGAGACAAGCCTGGCAACTTAGCAAGAACCTGTCTCAAAAATTTTAGAAAAGGCTGGAGATATAGTTAAGTGGTAAAATATACATGGGTTCAATCCCAAGTACCATTAAAAAAATTAATAAAAATAAACAACACATACGCACATAAGAATATAGACCCAGAACCAGAAAAGGAGAAAGACTTCTACAAAATCTGAACCTGGCCTTTAATTTTACTTTTGAAACACATGTACACTTCAGCAAACTCTTTGAGGCCACTCATTCTATAGATAAGTTAGGATTTCAAGAATAATAATATTTAATAGCCGGGCATGCCTGTAATCCCAGCGGCTTGGGAGGCTGAGACAGGAGGATTGTGAGTTCAAAGCCAGCCTCAGCAATGGTGAGGCACTAAGCAACTGAGTGAGACCCTGTCTCTAAATAAAATACAAAATAGGGCTGGGGAAGTGGCTCAGGGGCCAAGCACCCCTGCATTTAGTCCCCAGTTCCCACCCCTCAAAAAAGAATATTATTATTTAATAAATCCTAAAGCATACTCTTTTGGATTAACAGGGTAAAACCAGTTTTCTGCCTAAGACATTCCTGAGATTTGTGGACAAAAGAAATATTAGTGTTCAAGTTGGAGTAAATCCAATTTTTTTTTAAGTTCGTGGTAACTTGAAGTCCTCCAAAGCCAAAAGGTGAAATATACATTAATTTTTAAAGCAAAAATAAAACTGTTTTTAAAAATCTCTACTTTTTATATGTATTTTTTCCAGTAGTACCTTTTGCTATTCAGACAGAAAGGTTTGGAAGTAACGAGGCTATCAATCCAGGGGAAAACAAAAAAATAACTGCTAATTAACAGTACCAATTGCTTTTAGCAAAACATTCTTAAATTTGTAAAGTTTTGGCCCAAATCTTCAATCATGTTTTAGGCATATGTTTATTAGGAAGGACTCTTTGAACCATAGGTGTCTATGTTATTGCCAGGACCTGGACTTGCTTCTTGCAGTTTATCATGTTGTCTAGTTGCAGTTCATAGGGTGAAGTGATGAGCTGATAATTAATTATTGGCACTTGTTGGCATCATCAAGATAGAGAACAAGAGAACCCTGACTTTGGGGGTCTTTCCCTGCATGCCTATCATACTTTTGTTGCTACAGATTGGACCGTAATCTGTTTTTCGTTGCTGTTGTAGGAATTGGGAGCAGTATCCCTGGATGGCTACTTTCATCTCTGGAAAGCTGAAAATACATTGTCTAAGGTGTGATGAACATAACTTAGTTTTACCTAATAATTCACCTTATGATTAAAATACTCGAGTTTTTGGACCTGAGGATATAGCTCAGTGGTAGAGTACTTGCCTAATATGCCCAAGGCCCTAGGTTTGACCCCCAGCACACAAAATAATAAATAATAATTATAATTCTCCCTGAGCCTTTTCATTCTTGTCTAAAGCACTCTTTCTCTGATGCGCTGGGCATGTTATTGCGTAGTACATGCATGTCAGCATCTGGCATGCCTCTTGAAGTAAAAAAAAAGATGGAGGTGTGGGGTGATTCTTTTGAGATTACAGGGGTTTCCTGAGAGGCTCTTTTACCACCAGTTCTCCAGTTCACAATGCAGTTAAACAGTTGTTTATAGACTACTTGGCATGTAATAAAGGCAGAAAAATCTAAATGTTAGGAACCATTGGCAATTGAAGATTAAATTAAGATAAATCATCTCTGAAGTAATCATGTAAGATAAAGCGAAAATGGACTTAATTTGCAGTTTTTGCAAGCAACTTGATCATTACTTTAAACCAAAATGTAGATTATTTGCCCTTGTCAAGAGTCAGAGGCATTTGCTGCTTATTATTTCTATAATAGGCTCTTTCTCAAGAGGAAGCAGAACTCTGGGAATTATTGATTCCTTTGATCTCTGTTCTGCACCGTGTCTAACATGCAGTAGGCACCCATTGAGAATTGCTAGTATAAGGATCCAGGGTTAAGGCCAATTTGGGCTATCTGGGATTAAGCCAGTCCTGAGGGTGTGCTTTCTGTAGAGTACAATTCCCATTCAATTGAAGAGCCAGAAGTCAGCCCCTTTCTCAAAGAGCAGTGGGAAGGGTGGTAGCTCTTTCTGGAGACAGAACAAGGTGGTACCTTTATTTTAGTGCCGTGGTATTATTTCTGGAAACAACCTATGCATCCTGGCCTTTCCTGCCACTTCTGATATTTTAATTCCAGGTTAACTGTTTTCCCAAACCAAAGTATTATTTCCTTAATCAGGGTTTGCCTTAATCTCTGACTATGTGGCTAGCATATGAGGGAAGCCCACTTAGGTGGGAATGGAAGAACAACACCTTATGATCTCTGATGGTGCCGTGGTGGCACCTCTCCTCTCTCTTTTCAGCTCCTCTCTACCAAACTGCCATATTGCCGTGAGAATGTGTGTCTGGCCTATGGTAGTGAGTGGTCAGTGTATGCAGTGGGCTCTCAAGCTCATGTCTCCTTTTTGGATCCACGACAACCATCATATAACGTCAAGTCTGTCTGCTCCAGGGAGCGAGGCAGTGGTAAGACCTGGTGTGCCCTTTGGGCTCAAAACATGGAAGTATTGGTGAAAAAAAAAAAAAAGAGGAACTTAAATGCCTGCATATCACAGTAGTTTCAAACACCACAAACAAATGTGAGGCCACTAAACCCTTTGATAGAAACCACCAGTCAGGATTTTAGCAGTTTTGCCGGTCCAATCCCCACATTCTAAACCAGCCCACGAGATGCACTCAACCAGTAAGCTACATCTCCATCCCTTTTTTATTTTTAATTAAGGTCTCTGCTAAGTTGCTAAGGCTGGTCTCAAAACTTGAAGTCCTCCTGTCTCAGCCTTTTTAGTCGCTGGGATTACTGGTGTGCTTCACACACCTGGCCATTTTCAGGTTGGTTGGTTGGTTTGTTGTGCTGAGTCTTGAACCCTGAGGTGCTTAACCATTGAGCCACATCCCCTGCCCATTTTATTTTTTTATTTAGAGACAAGGCTTCACTGAGTAGCTGAGCTCTGCTTTGAACTTGTGATTCTCCTACCTTAGCTTCCTGAGCCACTAGGACTATGGGCATGCACCACCAGTTTAAAATAAGGAATGGCATGGTGGGGTAAGGAGAAGTTTTCAAAGGGCATAAATAAATATATCCATTGTTTTGAATGTGATAATAGTGTTATGGATAATACAATATTATTAGACTCTCAAATTGTATACTTCAAATATATGCACTTGTACATATTATTGTATGTTATGTGACAATTCCACCTTAATGAAACTAAAGAAAATTTTGAATTCTAACCAGTAGGTGAGTTTATCTTCAGCCTCCAATCTTTGTTCTTTTTAGATGTACATGACAGTAGAGTATATAGCCTCCAATATTTTTTAGCATATTCTAAGAGCACCTGTGTTCTATATTGGAGGAAAAGACTTAGGTTTATACTATGCATTGTTTCAGAATATCTTTTTCTGGCATATTTCATCCTACCAAGTACCTCATGGAAAGCAGATAAAAGAAGAGTGTTTAAAACTTTTAAGTGTTAATAGCATTGTTTAGATAAGACTGAGATCAGAGTGGCTAAATAACTTGCCCAAACCAGGTGTGGTGCCTGACATGGTGGCACATGCCTATAATCCCAGTGGCTCAGGGTGCTGAGGTAGGAGAATTGTGAGTTCACAGCCATCGCAGCAAATTAGCGAGGCCCTAAGCAACTCAGCAAGACCCTATCTCTAAATAAAATACAAAAAAGAGTTGGGGATGTGGCTCAGTGGTTAAGCACCACCCCTGGATTCAATCCTTGGTACAAAAATTTAAAAAATAAAAAACAAAACAGATGTGGTCTCTGAAATCCCAGAGACTCGGGAGACTGAGGCATGAGAATCACAAGTTTGAGGTGAGCCTTAGCAATTTAGTGAGACCCTGTCTAAAAAAGGGGTGGGGATGTACAGAGTGCTTAGGCACCTCTGGGTACAATCCCTAGTACCATAGACACACACCAAAGAAGGTGGGAGGGGACTGGGGTATCGCTCAGTGTCAGAGCATTTGCCTTGCATGTGCTAGACCCTGGGTTTAGCCCCAGCACTGCAAAAAAAAAAAAAAAAAAAAAGTAATGCCCAGCATCACACAGCCTGATGTGGGAAGAGCCAGGGATCAGAAACAAAGTAATATAGTATTTTCTTCTTTATCTCACTTATTTGCAAAAGGGGTTTCTTTTGCAAAAAAAAAAAAAAAAAAAAAAGGTTAATTGGGCCAAAGATTCTCAGCACCGCATTTAAATAAATAAAATAGGGCTGGGGATGTGGCTCAAGCGGTAGCGCGCTCGCCTGGCATGCGTGCGGCCCGGGTTCGATCCTCAGCACCACATACAAACAAAGATGTTGTGTCCGCCGAGAACTTAAATATTAAAAAAAATTCTCTCTCTCTCTCTCTCTCTCTCTCTGTCACTCTCTCTTAAAAAAAAAATTAAAAATAAATAAATAAAATAAAGGTCCATTGACAACTAAAAAAAAATTTTTAAAAAGAAAAAAACTGGCTACTTAATTCTGAAAACCTAAAAGGCACAGTATGGATTACAGTTTTAACTTGTTTCCTTCAAGTAGCATTTATTCCTCCAAATATTTCCAAAGTTGCTTTTGTTTGCAGTTTGTTTTTAATATAGGTAAGATGTTCACTAGTAGAAGTCAGAAAACAACAATAATGGGAGTAGGAGGGAAGGAGTAAATAGGCTTAGCTGAAATAATGTATGCAGTGATTTATTTTATTTATTTTATTTTTTTGGTACCAGGGACTGAACTCCGGGGCACTCGACCACTGAGCCACATTCCCAGCCCTTTTTTGTATTTTATTTATTTAGAGACAGGGTCTCACTGAGTTGCTTAGTACCTCACCATTGCTGAGGCTGGCTTCGAATTCGTTATCCTCCTGCCTCCAACTCCCGAGCCACTGGGATTACAACATGCGCCACCATGACCAACTGCAGTGAAAATTTTTAAGAGATTAAGGGAATACTGATTCCACAAATATTGAGTTCTTCATATATACCAAGAGATATATTTCTTTCTAGTATTTTTAGCTGTGGATAGACACAATATCTTTATTTTTTTATGTGGGGCTGAGAATTAAACCCAGTGCCTCACACATGCTAGGCAAGTATTCTACCACTGAGCTACAATCTACCCGGCCAAGAGATATCTTTGTGTGTGCGTGTGTATGTGTACACCAGAGATTGAACTCAAGGGCACTTGACCACTGAGCCATATCCCCAGCCCTATTTTATATTTTATTAGAAACAGGGTCTCACTGAGTTGCTTAGCTACTCGCTGAATTTCTGAGGCTGGCCTTGAACTCAAGATCCTCCTGCCATTGCCTCCCACGCTGCACGGATTATAGGCACGTGCCACCACCGCACCCGGCCCAAGAAATATCTTCATATCCCATGAATTTATTTGATATTTGATCCACAGATACAGTAGATATATTTTCCCTAGTACCCAGAGGGAGTAGGTAACATGTCAGAAATGCACACTGTGAGTGAAAGACGGTACTCTTTGTGGTGCTGAACTCTGTGCCACCCCTCATAACACACTTAGTACCAGATAAGGTTGTCTTGCAGTGCCATGCTAATGGTTTTAGGTCAAGTACAAGAAAATTCTTATTTTTTAAAAAATATTTATTTTTTATAGTTTTTTTTAGATGGACACGATATCTTTATTTTTTATTTTTATGTGGTGTTGAGGATAGAACCCAGCGCCCTACGCATGCCAGGCGAACATGCTACCGCTTGAGCCACATCCCCAGCCCGAAAATTCTTTTTGATGTAATGATTTGTAAATATTCACATTATCTTAAGTTGCAGTATAGGTTGGTATCATAGTGGAAAAGAGCTTTGAGTGATGACTCCAGAGTGACTCAGGGAGGCAAAGAAGTTCCCAGACACATGTTCTTTGGCCAGAATCATCTTAGGCATCATCAGAAATCTGGCTTTATGAGAGGATGATCAGAGGGTTCCTGTTAGTGAATATGAGCTATTTTTGCCTTAGAGTAGTATTTTCTAATATTAGGGGATGCAGTGAAAACTCAATATTGAAGAAATTCAGGCTAGCAGACTGCTAAGCATGTACTCTCTCTTCTCATTGCCATTTACTTTTCTCTTTCAGGGATCCGATCAGTGAGCTTCTATGAACACATAATCACTGTGGGCACAGGGCAGGGCTCCCTGCTGTTCTATGACATCCGAGCTCAGAGATTTCTGGAAGAGAGGCTTTCAGCTTGTTATGGGTCCAAACCCAGGCTAGCAGGGGAAAATCTGAAACTAACTACTGGCAAAGGCTGGCTGGTAAGTAAGCTCCCACATGAAATGGTTGTTGGACAGTGATAGATTATCTTCCCTCACCCCAACCCCTGCTGACACAAGACCTGCTCAAACTTTTTTACCTAGTAAGAGGCAATCCTTGGCATGAAGAGAGGTACTTTCTCCTGGGTTTGCTTTGTTCTGTATATTGCCTCTGGGAAAACAGAGGCCCAGTAAAATATACTGGGTGACTGGGGATTCTCCCACAAATGAAAAGAGAGCAGGAAGGATAAGGAACCTTCTGCTGCAACTACCAGTGAATTATGTAATTTGGTTTCAACTGTCCTCTTGAAAAGACCTGAGCTTTGTATATCAATTCTTCATCCTACTCAATTCTTCTCTAATGTTTAGTTGGAAATATGGGTCCAATTGCTATGAAAACATGTTTCCTGACATAAGGCTAAGGTATAGGACCACCTTCCTCTTACAGAGACCAGAAAGCATTCCTGTCCTCCTCCCTTTTCTGCCTTCTGACTTAAATGTGCTAACAGTCTCTTTGTTTTCCTGTAGAATCATGATGAAACCTGGAGGAATTACTTTTCGGACATTGATTTCTTCCCCAATGCTGTTTACACCCACTGCTACGACTCGTCCGGAACGAAACTCTTTGTGGCAGGAGGTCCCCTCCCTTCAGGGCTCCATGGGAACTATGCTGGGCTCTGGAGTTAATGACAACTCTCTCCCAAAATGCAGATTTACACTAACTTCCACTTTCAGTTTCCTTGTTTCTTCTTTTGATTTTTTTCCTCCCCCAATTGTGTGAAGCTCTCCTATTTTCATGGGAATACCAGTTTGCCCATGGTTTAGGCACTTAATAGGAAGAAGCTCTGTATAGAAATCAAAAGGTGTTTTTGTTTTGTTTTTTATTTTCTTTGTTTTTTGGTAATCAGAATTTTACTATCTTTTTTTCTCTTTCTCTAGCTTCTCAACCAAACATTGTTGCAAATCCCTATTTGTATTTTTTCTTAAAGTGGCACACACTTTTTCCCTCTCTGGCTTCTTTAGGCTGAAATGACGTAGTCATTCTCACCCTTCACTTTTCAGAGGTAGGGCTCCTTTATGTTTATGTGGTAGCTGTCAGACTTTCTGTGAAAGTTTGGGAGCCGTATGTATGTGTGAATGCATGTGAACTTGTGTGCCTGTAGGTAGTGTGTGTCACTGAAATTACCTGAAGTGAGGATTACTTTTAATTAAAATATTTATAAAAAAAAAAAAAAAAAACTTTATTCACAGAGTCCAGCTTTGGAACTGGTCTGTAGCTTGTTTAAATTTTAAAGTCTAACAACATGATTGTAGGAAGTAAAAACACAAAGAAAATTACCACAGGGAACATCTTTTGAGTTGAGATTTCAGATAGCTTGGGGCCTTCTATGCCAGGACTCCAAAGTAATCCAGCCTTACCTTTCTTTTCACCTTCATGTACCCCAAGTGAGAATACTGGTGCATGTGTCACTGCCACTTCCCAACCTCCCATCTATTTAGCTAGTGGCAACTTTCCTAAAACATCATAGGACTTGGTAAAGGGAACTGCATCCCAACCTCCCTTTCCTTATTCTCAAACAAAACCTCATCTGGTATTTTAGGAGCCTAGGGCTGGGGCTCACAAGTCTGCTAAGGTTCCCATACATAGTCCCTTTGGCTTTGAAAGAAACTTCTCCTTTGTCGTTCTTCCAATCTCCCCAGTGGATTTTCCTGCTGTTTTCTAAATTAGGTTCAGTCCAGGAGGGTAAGGGTCAGCAGTAGGTTTATCTGTGTGTAATGAGTGCTTCATGTGTGGAATATTTGTTTTGTCAATGCAGTGGAATTTAGGATTAAAGCCACGTTTTTTGCTCAGTTGGCTCAGCCCTGGGATGGTGATGGGATGGCCTGTAGCCAGCATCATTGTGCATGTAACAGCATCGATGTGATTAGTAATTTATCTGTTCCTCCCTTGAACTGTCTGTTTAGTCTGAGGTTTTTAAACTTGCAGGCAACTGACTGTGATGTCCAGTTGTTCCTGCTTTTTGCGCATCATGTCGAAAGTAACCGCTGTTCTCACCCACAGATTCTTTCTCTGGCACATACAATACTTCTCTGTCAAAAATCCCATCCTGGGGAAAGGAAAAGTCACATTTATTCCTGCACCCCAATTTCTTATCCCCTTCTTCTCTGGGTATAAGTGGGGAGATTGGAACGAGTACCTCCTCATAATGGTGGGGGTGCTGCGAAAAGAAACAAAGTCTACCTTGACTTGGTGGTATGCAGCGTACACCACGGGTTCTATAATTCTCATCTTCTAACCTAGAGAAATAGGTGCTATATTACAGGGAATTAAGCAAAATGCTGGATGCTATAAATCTTTTGTCTTAATTTTTTTTTCTATTAAACTACAGGCAGTAGATTTCTTAGTTCTCACAGAACTTCTATCATTTTAAACTGACTTGTATATTTAAGAAAAAAAATCTTAAGTAGGATGTTTTGTACTGTTGCCAGACCCTCTTCTGTGACGGGTAATACGTTTGATTGTTTGAGATTTTCTGTTTTTAAAAATGTAGCACTTTTTGCCAAGGAAAAAATAAATATTATTCCAGTGCAGAGTGTTTTGAGTGAGTATGTATAGTCAAGAGATGCAGGGAAAAGGCATTATGATTTGTTGGAAGATGTGCCTCAAGTTAGTGGCAGGGATACAAATACTAAGATCTGGTTGTTTCTGACCTAAGATTGGTTGCTCTGAGGTCCATTTGAGGGTGGATGTGTCCAGGGGAAGTAGTGTAGTGCATAAAAAAGCTGCTGGCTGAAGATGGGAGTGGGCAGAGGATGTTAGTTTTTATTGTGATTGTGGATCTGAGCAAGGTGACTAGCTCCTTTTAAATCAGGGTTAGTGACAGGTCCTGTCTGCCTTATTGGTTGGTTCACAGAGGTTGACCAAGAAAGGCTGCACAATGCCCTAGGAAGAGCATGGCACTTTTTTGCAGTTGGACCCACAGATCCTTGCTGTTCTTTATTTGGAGAGAATAGGGTAACTACACTGAGTGATGAGCTTCTCAGAGCCTATATGACCCTGTAGCTGAGAGAAAAGCAGGCTGCTGAGTTACACCACCTTCCCCATACAGCCCACCAGGACTGGGTCACTGAACCTGGCAAGGAAGTGCCTATTCCTCTGCCACATGGCACTTGTTCCTTTCCAGAACACGCTGACTACAGCTGCTTTTCACTCCTGATTCAAAACATGACTCACGTGGGGACCTCTATGATCAAAGATTACAGGAAGGGGAAATGACTTGAGTCCAAGCAATTTGAGAGGGCTTCCTAGAGGAGGAGAAGAGTTACAGTTGGATAGGGACTGAAACTACCCTTTCCTAAAATGAGTATAGAATACCAAATCCTAATGATTTGGGGGAAATGCAAAAACAAAAATCACCTTTACTCTCGGGTTTTTGAAATGTTATTATGGAACTCATGTTACATGGGACATACTCAAAAAGTTGCTATGGAGTATGTGGGATGGACCTGGTAGGGTTTCTGGCCTCCATGGAATCTTGGCTCTGCTCCCATTTTCCAGCAAAACATGTATCACAGAATGGCTTTATGAACTTTATGGTGTCCCCTCCTGCCAGCAGTCCCTTTATGGAGGCCATGAAAGAACTTCCTTGTTCGTTGTCAAGTCACATACCACATGCTTCATTTCAAATGACTCCTCCCATCATTCTTTGAGTCTTTTTACAGAGGGCTGTGGAACAGAAGTGAATTCCTAACACTTCAAGCCTCATTTATGTTCTAGGTTCCCTACCATTCTGTTTGCAGGTTTAGCTGTGTTCCTCACACTGATCTTGAACTCATGGGCACATGATCCCACTGCCTCATCCTCTAGAATAGCTGGGTCTAAGCTGGGTACAGTGGCACACACCTGTAATCCCAGCCACGTGGGAGGCTGAGACAGGAGGATCTCAGTACAAAGTCAGCCTGAGCAAAAGCAAAGCTCTAAGCAATTCAGTGAGACCCTGTCTCTAAATAAAATACAAAATAGGACTGGGGATGTGGCTCAGTGGTTGAGTGCCCCTGAGTTCAATCCCCGGTAACCTTCCCCCCCTTCCAAAAAAAAAGGCTCACGTAGTTGAACAGATTATTGGATTAAGTAACATAAATAATGATAGAAAATTGTAATGCATACGCTTTGGTTCTGTTTTCTTTGGAAAATAAAAAATTGAACATGCACTTCTATATAGTAATAGCCCAGAATCCATAAATTGGGTGGCAATAACTCCTTGCCACTCTTAAGAGGTGATCATTGATCTGTTTCTCCTTCCTAAAAAACTACTCCCAGTCCAAGCCTCATGGACCCAGCTATCATCAGACAATTCCTAATGCAGGTACCCAGAAATAGCAAGTCAGGATGTCAAGACCCTTGAATTAGTTTTGAGGATCAGTCTCATAGGAGTCAACCTGTGATACCAGTATTTTTATCCCTTTCAGTTGGATCATGTCTGGAAGACAACAATGAAAGAAAGGGTAGACAAAGAGGGATTGCTCAAAGCTATTTGCTTCATGCTAGTTCACTTTATGGGGAACACAGTGACACACACCTATAATCACAGCTATTCAGGACACTGACATCTGGAAGATCGCAAGTTCAAGCCCAGTCCAAGCAACACAGTGAGGCTCCATGTCAAAAAGACTCCATGCTCTCCATGCATGATAGCACACACTTGTCCCAATGATTCAGAAGGCTGAAGAAGGAGGATAGCAAGTTTGAGGCTAGCCTCAGCAATTTAGCAAGGCCATAAGAAATTAGTGAGACCCTGTTTCAAAAAATAAAAAGGGCTGGGTGCTGTGGTGCACATCTGTAACCCCAGGGGCCCCAGAGGCTGAGGCAAAAGGATCACAGGTTCAAAGCCAGTCTCAGCAAAAGCAAGGCACTAAGCAACTAGGTGAGAACCCTGTCTTTAAATAAAAATATCAAATAGGGATGAGGATGTGGCTTAGTGGCCAAGTACCCCTGAGTTCAATCCCTGATGCCCAAAATAATAAAGGACTGGCGATGTGTCTCAGCCATTAAGCACCTGGGTTCAATCCTCGGTACCAGGGATTTCCCCTTACCTCTACTCTTCCAAAGAAGAATAATGCAGAGCCAGGCATGGTGGTACAGGCCTATAATCCCAGCAGTTTGGGAGGCTGTGGCAAGAGCATGACAGGTTCAAAGCTAGCATCAGCAATTTGGCAAGGCCCTAAGCAACCAAAAGAAACCCTGTCTCTAAAGTATAAAAAAAGCTGGGGATGTGGCTTAGTGGTTGAGCTCCCCTGGGTTCAATCCCCAGTTTTTTATCTATCTATCTATATATATAGATATATATATAGAGAGAGATATACACATACACACATAATAATACAGAAACTGGGTGCAATGGGATGTGGAAGATTAAGATCCTGTTTCAAGGAAAAATTATGAGAAGTAAGAACACTACCACAGAGATAAAAGTATAAGTTGAACTCAAAGATGATTCAGCTTTGCAAGTATGAGCTGTCCTCTCAAATTCTCCCAGGGTAGGGCCTCACATGTCACTCCCTTTGATTAATGTGTAATTGCTGAAGTCAGAATTTTTAAAAGATAATGATATTCATTAACTGAGCTCGGAGTCACTTGTTTACTGTTCTTGTTAACTGTACTCAGAGCGCTGTAATTAGCATGTTATGGACAGGAAGAAAATGATCAACTACTATCTTAAAGAAACTTCCTTCACTTCTAGCCTTTTTTTTTTTTTTTTGTGTGTGTGTGTGTGTAAGAGAGAGAGAGAGAGAGACACTGGATATTTAACCCAGGGGCACTTACTTTACCACTAAGCCACATCCCCAGCCCTTTTATTTTTTATTTTGAAACAGGGTCTTGTTAAATTGCCTAGGGCCACTGGGCATGGTGGCACAAGCCTGTAATCCCAGTGATTGGGAGGCTGAGGCAGGAGGATTTTGAGTTCAAAG